GGCATGTACCTTGGTTGCAGGCACATACACAGTAGGGAGTGTACAGGAGGCAGCCGAACGATGTTTCTCACTCTCTGTCCCTCTCCCTTCCTCTCTGTAAAAAATCAATAAAATATATTTTTTAAAAGAAGAGATCAAAATCATCCAAATTGGAAAGAAGGAAATAAAAATATAATTATTCCCAGATGACATGATATTGTACTTAGAAAGCACTAAAGACTCCACCAAAAACACTACTATTGATAGAACTAATAAATGAATTAGGCAAAGCAGCAGGTTACAAAATTAACATCCAGAAGCCAGTGGCATTTATATATACCAATAGCAAACTTTCAAAAAGAGGAAGTAAGAAAACAATCCCATTTACTATTGAAACCAAAAAATAAGGTACTTAGGAATAAACTTAATCAAGGAGGTAAAAGACCTGTAATAAAAACTTTAGGACATTGAAAAAAGAAAAAAAGGAAGATGCAAACAAGTGGAAGCATATACTGTGTTCATAGATTGCAAGAATTAAAGTCATTAAAATGTCTATACTACCCAAAACAATCTCCAGATTCAATGCAATATCTTTAAAATATCAGTGGCAGTCACTAATCATCCAAGAGATGCAAATCAAAATGACAAGGAGGTACCATCTCACACCTGTCAGAATGGCTGTCATCAACAAATCAACAAACAACAAGTGCTCAAGAAGATGCAGAGAAAAAGAAACCCTCGTGCACTGCTGGTGGGAATGCAGACTGGTGCAGCCACTGTGGAGAACAGTATAGAGTTTCCTCAAAAAACTAAAAATAGAACTCACATTTGACCTAGTGATCCCACTTTTAGGAATATATCCCAAGAAACTAGAAACACCAATCAGAAAGGATATATGCACCCCTATGTTCATAGAAGCACAATTCACCATAGCTAAGACTTGGAAACTAAGTGCCCATCAATAGATGAGTGGGTTAAAAAACTGTGGTACATCTACACAATGGAATATTATGCTGCAGTAAAAAAGAAGGAATTCTTACCATTTGCAACAGCATGCATAATAATAGTCTCTCAAAATTGGACAGGTACCATACACACACACACACACACACACACACACACACACACAAACGAAAGTGGACCAACAAATTACAACATACACAAGAATAAACTCAAAATGGATAAAAGACTCAAATGTAAATCACAAAACCATAAAAATCCTAAAAGAAAACATAAGCAATAAAATCTCACACATCTTTCAGAGATACATTTTTGCCAATGTTTCCGAGGGCAGGGGCAACACAGGAAAAGTAAACAAATAGGAATACATCAAACTAAAAAGCTTCTGCACAGCAAAAGAAACTATCAACAAAATGAAAAAGAAACCCACTGTTTGGGAGAACATATTGCCAATGATTCATCTGATAAGGGGTTAATTTCCAAAATATATAAAGAACTTACACAACTCAACCCCAGGAAGACAGACAATATAATAATAAAAAAAAAATATGCATCAGACCTGAATTTACAATTTCCAAAGAGAAAATACAGATGGCCTGTGGTCATACGAAAAGATGCTCAATATTACTAATCATTAGGGAGATGCAAATTAAAGCTGGAAGGAGCCCTAGCTGATTTTGCTCAGTGGATAGAGTGTTTGCCTGCAAACTGAAGGGTCCCAGGTTCAATTCCAGTCAAGGACACATGCCTGGGTTGCAGGCTCAATCCCCAGTAGGGGCCATGCACGAGGCAACCAATCAGTGATACTCTCTCATCATCAGTGTTTCTCTCTCTCCCTCTCCCTATCCCTTCATCTCTGAAATCAATAAAAATATTCTAAAAAACTACAACAAGGTATCACCTCACACCTGTCAGAATGGCTACAATCAATAAATCAACAAACAACAAATGCTGTCAAGGATGTGAAAAAAAGGAAACCCTAGTGCACTGTTGGTGGGAATGCAGACTGGTGCAGCCACTGTGGAAAACAGTATGGAGTTTCCTCAAAAAATTAAAAATGGAACTGCCATTTGACCCATTGATTCCACTCCTAGAAATATATTCTAAGAAATTAGAAACACAAATCAGAAAGAATACGTGTACCCCTATGTTCATAGCAGACTTATTTACAATACCCAAGATATGAAAACAGCCCAAGTGCCCATCAGGTGAATGGATAAAGAAGCTATGGTATATTTTCAGATTGGAATATTATGCAGCTGTAAAAAAGCAGGAACTTCTACCCTTTGTGACAGCATGCATTGACCTGTAGAGTATCACGTTAAGTGAAATAAGTCAGTCAGAGAAAGACAAATATCATATGATCTCACTAATATGTGGAATCTTTTTTAAAAAAAATATACTTTATTGATTTTTTTATAGAGAGGAAGGGAGAGGGATAGAGAGTTAGCAACATTGATGGGAGAGAATCATCAATCAGCTGCCTCTTGCACACCCCCTACTGGGGAAGTGCCCACAACCAAGGTACATGTCCTTGACTGGAATCGAACCTGGGACCTTTCAGTCCGCAGGCTGATGCTCTATCCACTGAGCCAAACCGGTTTCGGGATTATGTGGAATCTTAAAACAGAAATAAACTGAAGAAAAAATAGAACCAGCGGCATGGATACATTGAACAGATTGACAGATGTTAGAGGGGCAGGAGGTGGTGGGACTACATAAAGGAAGATGTAGTAGATTAGCTAAATAACATACGTAAATGCATAACCCATGGTGAAGACCAAGGGAGGGGGTGTGGCCGGATGGAGTTGGGCAAAGGACATCTACAATAGTATCAACAATAAAAAATTTAAATTAACCAGTGAATGAATAAATAAATGAAACAACAAATTGATGTCTCTCTCAAATAAAAAAATGGTATATTATAATGTTCAAATGTATTACACATTTATCTTTGAGAATACCATTCATTTTTATTATGTTTTGTGTGTTTTTTTAATTATTTTTTTATTTTACATTCTCATTGTGGAAGATTTAAAATCTATGGAAAAGCATAAATACACAGAAAAGCAAAACCTGATTTAATGGACACCGTGGTTTATATTATAGCACACACACACTCCCCTAGTCATTTTGAGATCATGTTGTTTATAATTTTGAACATTTTTTTACTAAACATTAACAATTCCCACTGGCAATATATTTTTAATGAGTGTGAAGAAAAACATGTCAAAACTTCAAATATCAAACTAGTGATGAAATAAGGTTAATAGATTGTATTTGCACAATGTGTTCTTTCATACTTTTATCATTAAAATCTAAGGTCCTACACAAAATTGCATTTATATACCACAAGGATAATAAATTTTAAAACCTACTGAAATCTAAACATTTAATTAGACAGTGCTTTCAGTCAAATGGTCAGAAGATTTCTTATAATTAAAAGGACAGAATTTAGGGGGAGGGAGTTAAATATGCCACCAGTGAACACAGCATTACTTATACCCTTTGATGACACTTCAATGATTGACAAGAAAGTTAAAATTGCTATAGTTTACATAAAAACCAGTTTTAAGACATAGAAAGAAAAAAAAATTCTGTCATCCCTTTCTAGTTCCAAAATCATTAAGTAGAACAGATAATTTAAATGTCAGGATAAGGCCTTTCAAAGATTTTCAGAAACATTGACAAATTACACAAGTAATCTTCACCTGAGTAATATTTTTGAAATTTAAGATGTATTCTTACTTTATTAAAAAAATATTCTGAAGTCTTCACATCAGTTTTACCAGTTTTAAACAATAGTACACTATTCAATTAAAATTCAATGTGAATTTATATTTAGATTTCAATAGTACATGTTCATCCTTAAAGGTTATAAAATGTTTAAATAGCACATCCATCTGTCCTGTGATGGCTCATATGAGTTTAATTATTGAAGAAATCTAAATGGAATTTCTCCCACAAATGCAGATCCTGCTGATCTGTACTGAAAACATGAGATTTGACTCTGGTTCTTTGATCTCACAAGGGAATTATAGTCTTGAGTTCACTATTTTTCAGTAGAATAAATCACTAATGTCTGTCACCTTATACATTACATTCAGCTAATGATCTCCTATCTATACATATAAAAGCCTAAGTGATGGATCAACTGGATGACCACAGGACAAGCTGGTAGCTGTGATGTGTGCTGACCACAGGGGGCAGACGCTCAATGCAGGAGTTGCCTCCCTGGTGGTCAGTGAGCTCCCATAGCAGGAGCGCCGCTCAGCTGACCTATGGACCCCAGATTCTGGGCTCATGGCTTGAAAGTGCAGCTGCAGAAGCTCGAGCCTCTCCTGCTTCTGGCAGTGCTACCAAGCAGCAGTGCAGCAGGGCTGTGATGAGCCAGAAGCAGCACCCGCCCTGGAGCTTGCCACTTTGCACACTACTCATTCCTCAGGGGATGTCGGACTGGGGGGATCAGGCCAAAAACAGTAATCCCACATCCCCCTGAGGGGTCCTGAATTGCAAAAGGGCACAGAGGCCAGGCTGAGTGACCCTACCAATGCACGAATCTGTGCACCAGGCCTCTAGAATATTTATAAAGCAGTTACTACTTCTAGAATTTTCTTATTCATGATGACTTGCTATTGCAATGAGTATATATTTAGGTTTGCCCTATACACAATTTTCAACATATAGAGTTTGTGTAATAAATTTAACCAAAACAAAGTTATTTCTTTTGGATCAATAACTTAAATCAAATTTTAAAAGGCATATCTGTTGAATTTGCACATATAACAGAGTTTGGAGGTAGCATTCTTACCGGAGATTACAAAATCGAGATTTAAAAGATGTCAGCAAGTTGGAATAGTAGGTTAAAAACCAGTGTAACAAAGACTCCAGCTCAGACATTAAATTGTACTATTCTCATGACTCATCTATAAGATAGCACGTTTAGATTTGCAATAGGTCTAGATTCAGACAGAGACTGAGGAATGAAGTCACTTAATCATTTGTCAAGGCACAGGGACAGTAATTGGGATAGTTATTAGGAGAAGAAAGAGTGAATACAGAAGATTCGTTAGCTCAATGTTTGTTCATTCAACAAATGTTGAGCTTATACAATTTTCTAGACTGAGGGATCTATGGAGAGCAAAATCAGACAGGAAGGAGTTCTGCCCTCAGGGACTTTGCACATGTAGAGGGAGGAAATATGTAAACCAATAAAGTATGGTGTTATTATTTGATCAAACTTAAATAGGACCCACTTTGTGCTGGGTACTTTTCTAAGTGCTTTAAATGTAGTTCATCTACACAACAACCATATAATGGAGACACAGTTATCATCTTAAATCTACAAATGAGAAGCTGTAGTACACAGCGACTTGCCCAACGTCAGCCCCACTAGTAACTAGCAGAATCCACACACTTAACTTCTATGCTGTGCTGCCTTGGGATGAAAATGGTGCCGGTATAGGGTGACAGAAGTGACGCTCACAACTTTCTCTCAGGTGACCTAGTGCCACCAATTATTTAGCATTTGCTCATTCAATAAACACTTACTAGGGGTCCTGCTGTGTGGCTGGCACTGCATTAGGCAATAAGGACATAGTGATGAACGAGACTGATTTAGTCACTGCCTTCAGTGGAGCCTACAGAGCAGCAGGGAAGGAAAATATTGAACAAGTGACATGAAAAGGGAAGTGCAGAGGATGATAGGAGAGGATAACCTGCAAATATCTCCATCAGTCAGGCTCTCCTCTATCTAGGGGAAAACAACCCTCCATGACATATGTTTGAAAGATACAAAACACAAGGGAAATTATTTAGGGACTGAAGATCAGCTAGAGGGATGGCTTCTCCCCATGACACCTCAGGGGGACAACATCAATTGCATGGGGAATCCATGGTGGGAAGTGGTACTAGTGTCAGACCTTCACAGCAACTTTATGTATGTGGACACTTCATGGTAGTAGTAGAGACAGATGCCTTATGGAGAGAGCTCTTATGAGAACCTGCAGGAGACGTTATTAGACATAATTAGCTTTGAAAGGTTATTAGAGGTTCCACAGTAGCAGGTAAATACAAAATCCTCAGGGGCTGTTCACTCAGATCCTTTCCCTCATTATTTCCTACGCAGTGCCTGATCTTCCTCTCTGAAGAGAAGGGCAAGCTAGAGGGGCTGGTCAGCAGCCCTTTGGGAGCCTCAGTTATTGGGCTGTGAAGCATGAAGATGAAAGTAAAAAGGAGTAGTGGCGTCCTGTGGAGTTTCCACAAAAGGGGAAAACAAATGGGAAGGCAGGTTGGAGCTCCTTAGAATTCCATGCATGAGAGGCTCAGTACAGGAAGCAGGTAGAATCGGCCTGGAGGGCTGTCTTGAACCAAGGAACTCAGCTAGCTACAGGGTTTTTAATATGATTTCTGAGGTTTTGGGCTGGGAAGGAGTGGCCACCATCCCTGAGAACTCAGTACAGTCCCAGATCAGCACCCACGGAGCTCTAACAGGAAGGAAGCAGATAAAAGTAGCAAAACTGCCTGGCCAGTTAAGCAACGTCAGCAATTTAATAATTTTTTAAAATGTAACAAGATAAATGCTATCAATGTGGCATTATAATAATAATTGACAATGAGAGCACAGGAGGTGCCAGTACAATTGCAGAAAGAAATCTGGTATCCACTTAAAGCCAAGCAGTGTGGAGGCACCCAAATGTGGGCAACATTGTACTTCTTGCCTGATAGTGTCCTGACTATCCATGAGAAGACCCAGTGTCATCAAGAGAAGGGGATGTGTTATTCTGTGCCTTCTGTATATAATGGCAGAAAAAAAAGTGCAGCACAGTGCAAGAAGACTTTAATTCAAAAATGTTCTGATGCCTAAATGAATAAGTTAGCTAGAAAATCCAATTACGTAGACATCGGCAGTGCAAGATGAAAGAGATAATGCTGTTAAGGAAATTTAGCAAATGCAGGAACTAGTATGTGCTCAATAAATAGAATTTAAAAACAAATTCAGTTTCTGACCCTGCTTGCCCCTCATCCTGCCAGGCTGCCTACTAGTAAATAAACGAATGAGTAAATGAATGAAAGAAAAGAATTGTTCCTGGAGTTCCCTTTTCCTCAGGGTTGCACTATGGTTCTTAGAACTAATGCAATGTCCATGTACTGAAAATGGATGAGGGCACCTATCTAGTCCTCATTCATCATCTACACACCTTAACACCCGGGAGGTCAATTTTTCCAATCTATAAGGTGTCTCCTGCAGCCAGTTCTCCTGGCTCTTGCCAAGGCAGGTTAGGATCTGTCTGCCTCAATGCAACCCCCCTCCCCCATGATCTCTCCATTCCTGCTATTTCCATGAAGATGCCTGCTGCTCAGTAGGAGAGCTTATTTCTTGTCTGCTCTTTGCATTCAAAGATCCTTTTTCTCATTTGTCTTCCAGCAGCCTTGGGAAAGGCGCTGAAATAATGCAATTCCAAGACACTTTATGCCCATGACTCCTCTTTTCCTTTTCCTCTATAAACCTACATTCCTACTAGTTGTCTTCCCTTGAAGCACAAAAGCCAAGTCTGTGCAGGCAAATTTATGCTTTTCTGGTGCTATGTATTTCTTAAGGTAATGAGCTCAGCTTTCTGAATATGAAAGTAAAGAGAAAATGTGAAGAACCCCCCCCCCCCCATATATTATAATATTGCTCTCCCCTGTGAGTTCAAAGCCAGTTGAGAAATAGGCTCAAGCAGCAGTCACCATCTATGGTCCCAGCATGGCTCTAGGCCATAAAAATACAGCAAGGTCTAACTCAGACAAAACAGCCATCTATTATTTGCAAACCTGCATTTTAAAGTTTAGTCTAGCCTGAGGCCAAAATGACTTCCCCTGAATAGTTATAGAGATAAAGAACCATTGTACAGACTGTCAAACTATAGAGGAGAAGGCAAGGGAGGTTTTTTTTGTTTGTTTGTTTTTTTGGGGGGCGGACTGTAAGAGATCAACCAGAGGACTTGTATGCATGCATATAAACATAACCAATGGATATAAGACATGGGGCAGGTGAAGGCATATGTAGGGGGAGGGGGGAGGGAGAGAGGGAGTAGAGGAGGCTGGGGAGGTCAAGGGGGGGAAAAGAAGACATATGTACTACTATTTGTAATGCTTCAACCAATAAAAAAATTAAATTAAAATACAAACACAAAATGACTTCTCCTGAATTGTATTTAAAATCTATCAAATTAAAAGGAAACTGATAAAAAGTTAATAACTGACTTTGTACATATAGCCTACCTTCAGTGAATGTGTAACAAGATCAATCACTTTCCTGGTAGGCATGACTCTTCTGTTTTACAACTAAACTATAATGAACAAATAAACAAAATAAAGTTTACTTATTACCTGAAAAAAAATCCATTAAAGGAGATGTGGTATACATCTTGAAAATGATGTAGGTAGTCTTAACTGGTTTGGGTCAGTGGATTGAGCGTCGACCTGTGGACTGAAAGGTCCCAGGTTTGATTCTGGTCAAGGGCATGTACCTTGGTTGCCTGCACATCCACAATAGAGTGTGAAGGAGGCAGCTGATCAATGTTTCTAACTCTCTATCTCTCTCTGTTCCTCTCTGTAAAAAAAATCAATAAAATATATTGAGAAAAAAAAAAGAAAATGATGAAGGCAAACTTCATTTTTTAAAAAAATATTTTTCATTGTTTAAAAAGAACATATATTAATATTAGTACATATATCTCCTTTCCCCACCCCCCATTGACCTTTCCCCAGACTCCTATACACCCTGTCACATGCCCTCATCCCACTTTCTCAGTGTCTTGGTGTCCATTGGTGTGCTTATATATTGTACATGCATACAAGCCCTTTGGTTGATCTATTTCCCTCCCTCCCCAACACTCCCTAGCCTTCCCATTGTAATTTGACAGTCTGTTCGTTGCTTTACTGCCTCTGTATCTATCCTTTTATTCATCAGGTTATCATGTTTTTTATTTCCATAAATGAGTGAGATCATGTGGTATTTTTCTTTCATTGTCTGGCTTATTTCAGTTAACATAATGCTCTCCAGGTCCATCCATACTGTTGCAAATGGTAAGAATTCCTTCTTTTTTATAGCAGCCTAGTACTCCATTGAATAGATGTACCATAGTTTTCTAATCCACTCATCTGCTGATGGGCATTTAGGCTGTTTCCAAATCTTAGCTAAGGTGAATTATGCTGCTATGACCATAGGGGTGCACATATCGTTTCTGATTGGTATTTCTAGTTTCTTTGGATATATTCCTATAAGTGGGATTACTGGGTTAAATGGGAGCTCCATTTTTAGTTTTTTGAGGAAACTCCATACTGTTCTCCACAGTGGCTGAACCAGTCTGCATTCCCACCAGCAATGCACTAGGGTTCCTTTTTCTCTGCATTCTCACTAGCACTTGTCGTTTGTTAATTTGTTGATGATTGCCATTCTGACAGATGTGAAATCGTACTGCATTGTCATTTTTGATTTGTATCTCTCAGATAATCAGTAACTTTTAGCATGTTTTCATATGTCCCTTGGTCTTGGCCTTTCTTCTGTCTTCTTTCGAAAAGATTCTATTTAGGTACGTTGCCCATTTTTTAATTGGGTCGTTTATCTTCCTTTTATTGAGTTGTATGAGTTCCATGTAAATATTGGATATTAAACCTTTATCAGTGATAACAATTGCAAATATGTTCTCCCATACAGTGGGATTTCTTGTTGTTTTGTTGATGGTTTATTTTGCTGTGCAAAAACTTTTTATTTTGATGTAGTCCCATTTGCTTATTTTCTCTTTAGTTTCCATTGTCCTAGGAGTGGTATCAGTGAGGAAATTGCTTTGGCATATGTCTGAGATTTCTATGCCTGTGGATTCTTCTAGTATTTTTATGGTTTACTGACTTATGTTTAAGTCCTTTCTCCATTTTGAGTTTATTTTTGTATATGATGCAAGTTGGTGGTCTACTTTCATTTTTTTTTTACATTTATCTATCCAATTTTCCCATCACCATTTCATGAAGAGACTGTCTTGACTCTATTGTATATTCATTCCTCCTTTGTCAAATATTGAGAATATTGGTTTGGGTCAATATCTGGATTCTTTATTCTATTCCATTGGTCTATATCAGCGTTTTTCAACCGCTGTTCCGCGGCACACTAGTGTGCCGCGAGATGTTGCCTGGTGTGCCGTAGGTGCAGACAAGACAAGAATTTTATAATTTTTCACTATTTTGTTTACTTAATATTTCATAATAAATTATAAAATACTTTCTTTGTGTTTATTTGATTCCTATTCAAGAGAATTACTTTATATATAGTCAATATAGGCACAGAGTTAAATTTTTTAACATTTTCTAATGGTGGTGTGCCTCGTGATTTTTTTCATGAAACAAGTGTGCCTTTGCCCAAAAAAGGTTGAAAAACACTGGTCTATATGTCTATTCCTGTGCCAATACCAGGCTGTTTTGAAAACAGTGGATTTATAATACAGCTTGAGATCTGGTATTGAGATCCCTCCTACTTTATTCTTTCTCAGGATTGCTGTGGCTATTTGGGGTCTTTTTTTTTAATATATATTTTATTGGTTTTTTTAGAGAGAGAAAGGGAGAGAGATAGATAGCTAGAAACGTCGATGAGAGAGAAACATCGACCAGCTGCCTCTTGCACACCCCCTACCGGGGATGTGCCCGCAACCAACGTACATGCCCTTGACTGGAATCGAACCTGGGGCCCTTCAGTCCGCAGGCCGACGCTCTATCTATCCACTGAGCCAAACCGGTTTCAGCTGGGGTCTTTTTTATTCCAGATAAATTTTTGGAGAGTTCTTTCTAGGTGTGTGAAATATGCCGTTGGTATTTTAATGAGGAGTGCATTGAATCTATAGATTGCTTTGGGTAGTATGGATATTTTAATGATGTTGATTCTACTAATCCATGAACACAATATGCTCTTCCATCTATTTATATCTTCCTCTGTCTCTTTTTTCAATGTCCTGTAGTTTCCTGAGTAAAGGTTCTTTACCTCATTAAGTTTATTCCTAAGTACCTTGATTTTTTTGGTGCAGTGGTAAATGGGACAATAATACACAGAACTTCCCAAAGTTATCTGCCCAGGCAACCCACTCTTTGAAGAAAACCGAATAACATTTTCTAGGACTCCAGTTTCATACAACCCAGTTTGGAAATGCTGAATAACAGTAATCTCAATCAGATTTTGATAGAGGAATGGGGTGGAATCATTCAAGATGGAGTGCTGGCATATATCCATGTTCGTGCTTTAAGGAAGTATATACTTTAGATCCTGAGGAAAAGGTAGGTGATTAACCTGATGCCTCATAATTAAATCGAAGGAGCTTGCTTATATATATTCTCACACAGATGGCAGGAGGCAGGGGTAGACTAAAATTTGCTTGGGACACCTGAATAAGCAGTACTTGAGGGAAACCCAGTTTAGGGACAGAAGGGAAAACCTGGACCTGGGGCATTCTGAGGCCACCCACCTCAACACTAAGTGTTGACATGACTCCTGT